CTTTTACATCTATCTATAATATATATATATATCTTTTGGATATACCCCCCATTCAGAAGCCCATTTTCATATTCTGTTTGCACTATTCTCTTTTGTTTGCACTATTTCTTATATTTACATTTCATTTTTTTCTGTCTCATATGTGTGTATCTCTGTGTTAATGCTGCTAACAACAACGTGAATTCCTCCACTGTGAGATAAATAAAGGCTTATCTTATCTTATCTTATCTTATCTTAATGACAATCCCCCCCCGATTCCCTTAAACCTGTTTTTTCCCTTTAACCCCCATCTTGTCTTTCGTTTGGGTCCCATCGCATGCCGAGCGACTCTCAGCCGTCACAGTCATCAGCAAAAGACAAAAAAAGTGCAGAAATAAAAATTAAAAAGCACATCATACTATTTAATACAACAATAAATAGATCAAAGACAGACCAAAAGAAGAAATCATATGGAAGTTTAAATAAATATAAAACATAGATTAAAACTTAATAATAATAAAATGGTTAAAGAAAATATAATTCCAAAAAGTGTTGTTACAGTAATCTCTGAGAATCCAGGAAAAAACAGCTGACTATGGTGCTTCTTAGCTCGAGGACAGCAAACATTCAGAGGACAAAAGAGGACTAAAGCACACTGATTGACTCACAACTGACAACTGTGCATACAGATTAACATCTCAACTTCATCGGAGTCAAAACTTGTCTGTATAGTTAAAGGCTGCAACTTAGTCCTCTTTTGATCCTTGGAAATTTTGAATAAGTGTGTTTTAAAATTAGATTATGAGAAGAAACAGCCATCCTCCTGATCCCCTCCAGGGGTCAGAGTCAAGGGTTCTGTCTCTAAAGGCTCGGTCTCCCCTGGTGTTTAGCCTCAAACAGGAATCCCTAACAGACCTCTGGCAGAGGATCTCAAGCTGTTATCAGGCTCTTTAGGGATTCGTACATCAAAGATGTAATTAGTAACTAACTGCAAGTGTGCCTTAAAAGTGCTGATTCTCATTTTAAAGTCAACCCCAGAATGTAGAAGTAACCAGTGTATGGATCCTAAAATTGGATTTAATGAGAAGCATTGCTGCAACACCAATGTACCCATCTGATAGGTTATATCAGCTAAGACGGGCATATGGCCAGTTAAAGTAATTTACCAGCAACATATTAAAAGGATGGATAGCATTTGCCAAGATCTTTGTGAACTGAAAGTACGTAATTGTTAAGATATTTTAAAGATACAAGAAACAAGACTGAACAACAGACTTGAGTTAAAATTGCATTTGTCATCAAAGAAAAGACCGGGATTCCTGCAGAGAACCTAAGTTGGGGAAGATGTGCTCACTGGAAGAGTCTGGATCTGTAATAACAACTTCTGATTTATCTGAGTTAATCAAAAGTCTTTCGAAGACATCTGAAAGGCAGTTTAGTATTTTACCTGACTGAGAAATAATAAGAGTCATCTGCATAAAAATGAAAATTGTTATTATGCTGAAATAGAGAACAGTAAAGGGCCAAGGACTGAGCCTTGAGGCACTCCATAACTGAACTGAGAAGCGAAGCAATTACAGTTGTGGCCAAAATATTATTAATACTGTTCACAACAATTTTGTAGCTTAAATAAGCACTGTTCCATTTATGTCATATCATCAAAGCCACAAGCAGAATCTGAAAAAGAGGAAACTCAGACTACACAGGTTGTCTACAGACCCAGATGACAATCCTGTTGTTTAATATTTGTTGCCATGTTAATCAATAATCTATCAAAACAGCATTAAAGGATCCAAATTAGTCTTATGTAGCAAAGAAATATGAAAGCTTCCCTTTGGATAATCCCATAAACAATAAATCTGACAACAAAGCAGAGCTCATCAGCTCCTTCTGCCCTACGGGTACTAATACTATCTGCAGTACAGCACTCAATATCGACAGGATTACTGAAAAAAAAAAACAGGACAGAGTGAAGGTGGTAAATAAATAATCAGATGTGAGGCTTAAAAGACTGGATACAGGTACTGAACACAGGACTTGGCTGTTAATCTTAAGGGAGTACCCGACCAATGTAACACACCAGGATCCAGGATTACTCAACCTGTAATATAATGTCTTCTGTGGCTGTGAAGCAACTAAGAGAAGTCTGATAAAAAGTAGCTCTAGTTGTGTCATCAGACTGCACGAGACATTTGTAGCAGAAAGCCTGTGTAGAGAAATGTTCATCGGCCTCTGGAACAGCAATCAGTCCACAAGGTATAACACGTAATCAGAAAGGTCTGGTTCTGTTCCTCTTGCACGTGAAGACAGCCGTCTATACATGCAACATGTTCATCAACTTTGGGACCTGTGTTACAACTTGTTTTTGTGACCACTTGCTGATATGCATTTGCGATTTCACAGCAGATACGCAAAAGGAGCACTATGTTGAAGTTTGCTTTAGATGTCCGTCAACAGGTCTAGGATGACTCAGCTTTTACAACAGTTGGGTTTACAGCTACTACCCAGGTATGAAAATTCAAGCTTTACAGTTTAAGAGCTAGCAGTTTCCAAGACCGAAGAAGGCGTGTCAGGTCAGAGCAGCAGAAGCCTGTTTTCTTGACAGTCACAGGATTGCGCATTATCAGTTCGTTTAGGGTCTACTACTACTACTAGTAGTATTACAAAGTATAATGACTATAATTGTGGCAATAAGTAAAATTAGTAACAACAAAAAAAAAATCTAAATATATTGTAACATAAACCTAAGATTAGGGAGAGTGAAACAAGAAGAACAAAGTGGAAACTGCTGCAGACCCTATCAATAAAGACCTTCTTTTTTTAATGGGAACTAAATGCAATAATGATGCCATCAATATATTATCTACATACACCATCTACACCTCATCAGTGATGTTTCCTTGGTTTGAGTGTTTTAGGTCTTTCAGCATCAGCTACCTTAACCATGCAACCCAGCATGCCTCCAAGTATCACTACACTACCTGCGATTCTTTTTTTCTGATCCTCGGTCACCTTGTAACAACTTCTGCTCCCTCAGTGGACAACCTGATGGTCCTTCATCTACTGGGCCCTGTGATTCCCAACATGTTGTAGGCACTGACCTGTAAACTTCACTGTGTTTGCACCTTGTTCACCACCTGTTGCATTGGATTTCTTTCCTAGCTGAGCATAGTTAATACTTTTCCACTCATTGGCCTCCTCAATGCGATCCTGCCAGGGAGCAGTGACTTCAAGGAGAACGAGCTGCTTGAGGGCGTTCTGAAATCTGCATCAAGTCTGAGTTCAGCATTTCTAAAGCTACAGTTTCTGGGAACTTCAGTTGTTTCCCCAAGTTGACTTTCAGCTCCCAGTTTTGTGAAATCACAAGCAGGTCAGAGAAGGCGGTCCTGGCAACTGATATCATATTTTCCCTCTGCCCCGACAAAAGAGATGATCACTAATCACTCACTGAGCGGAAGTGCTTGGCTAATCCCCCTGATGGTATCCACTACAGCCTTCAGGACAGGACTATGGCACCAGCAGTAGCACCTAGGACTTGCTCCAGGATCGTTTAAAATATGGTTTAAAATATGGATTTAGGAATAAAAAACACTGACTTATCACAGAATTTTGATTCAGAATCTTCAACTATCTCGTTGACCTTAGATTTCATAATTTTGATTTACTGTGGGGTTTTTTTTTGTTTTTTTTTTTTAAATTTCTTAACTTTTTTGTTTTCTTGGCAGGAATGGGTTTCCATGCGACTGTATTACTGTATACAGTTGTTAGGAAAATTCTTCTGTGGAGTCCTAACTGCTCCAAATCAATACACAGAGTTGTCTCTTAAGTCAACGCAAAGTTTTACTTGCAGCAAGGAATCACATACACAGTACAGAGTCTGAACAAGTGACTCCCGAGTCAAGAAATGTTGTAGTATTTATACAGGCATACAAAGCACAAGTGACATCAGAGTAAAGAAACGTAGCATTATTCTGGCATCCTCTGCTCCCATCTGCTGAGCACAGGCTTGATTACTTTTGCAAGTTCTGTGCACGCTATCTTTCACAGCCTTCTGTATTTCAAAAGTAGGACAAAGAGCATTTAATCATAACATATAACACTGAATTTTTATAACAACACTATTACTTACATTATATTACCAGTGACTTTTGTGTAAATAAATGATTTGTGGGAAAAGTAGGATCCCTTAAGAAAGTTCATATAAGGTCATGAAGATAGTTTCACCATTCAAAATGAAATAGAAATCAGTAAAGACCAGCCTGACTTGATTGTTCAACAATGATGTTGGACAGACAATGAAATGTACAGTATACATGATGCTCAGGAGAGCATAACCCCTGTGACATGCCTGCTTTCAGCAGCCCTGGATTAACAGTGTTATATAATTTCCAATACATATTGGTAATCGAGAATGTGCTTTTCAAATCTATCTCCTGTCTCTTACAATGTGTTTCAGAGGTGACTTATAATGTAAAAAATACCAAACTAGCTTCATCTCTTCGTGTGAAATTTAGCAGACTTACCATCTTGGAGAGTAAAAATTGTCAGTCACCCTATTACACCTGTTGGGGGGGGGGGTTATCCTACAGGTTTCATTCCCTTCATTCACTGTCGTCTATGAATGTCAAGAGCAGATGAGATTATTTGAACCTCTGTGGCCTACACAGCTGCACGCTTTTACCTGAGCATGTGGAGGTAACTGCCTTTACGCAAAAAAAAAAAAAAAAATGTTGTGCGCTCTAGACTCCAACGAGCGTACGAAGAGTAAATCCGAGCCATCTGACGCGGAGGATTTGTAGGCGAAATTGCTTCCCCCTCCTCTGTGAGGTTTAATACCGTGGCATCCATGTATAGATTCTCACTATGTTTACGGCGCGAAGCATGTGCGGAATGCGCGACCTGTGCGCACAAAGTGCCGGGAGAAGCCTCCAGTTTTGAGACATTTCGGGAGAGGGCTGGGACTCTGGGCACCATGCACACGGATGTTGTGCTGCTCAGCCTGCTGCTTTGGATGGTCGGTGTGTCCGGGCAGAAGCGTCCGAGGGGGCAACTACTGCAGCCATACAGACACGTCAGGTCAGTCCAGAACCACAGAAATGCAGGACAAACTTGTCTTCGTGCGTAATTACCCCAAGGCAGCTTAAATACAGGCTGGAATCTAATCTTTTCAGTTCAGTTACACCTGTTAAAGAAAATATGTGCAAACCAGTATGAGATTTTGGAAAAAGTTTAAGTGACTCATCATCCCAGCAGTTCCAAGAAAATACACCTTTAATCAAGAAGGCTTTTAAACAAGAATTACAGTCTACAAGACAGCACCACTGACTGTCACAAGTCATTCTTGAAGCTTCAAGCTCAAGTTGTACTTAAAGACTTGCTCTTCAACTTTAGACTGCATCAGGAGCTCTTCATCACCAGATTGAGTTTGCTCAGTTGCCATATGTTCAAGCTTTTCATGATTCTGAGCGCCTCTAGGATTAAACTAGTTTTGAAATGAATATGTTTCAGTCGAATCAAATTTTTTGGATGCACTACTCCATTCCTGCTTGGTCCTGACCTGTATCTGCTTATTTGATCCATCACACAGTAGTCTGTTGATCTGTAAACCTCTCTGTGGTTCAGGGTGATGTCAGTCTGTCTTCACTTAACCAGTATCCTACAAATTTAATTTTGACTTATGATTGCATTGCTAATTTAAGTGTCTTAACAAAATGTCTTTTTATGGCCTAAAATGTATTCACGTTTTCATTTCAGTGACAAAGTTTACGCCTGACACTTGAAATAGTTCACAAAATTTTTTTCATTTGATGCAATTAAAAGCTAGAAAGTTATTATTTATTATTTTGTAAAACAACAACAAACAAAAAACAAAAAACAAACAAAAACAGCAATTGTCCTGCTTGACTGGCCAGGCAGGATTTTTTGTTTTCATACAAAATCTGTTTTCTTTTCAGTCTTTGGAGTCTGGTTATGAAATTAGCACATGATACTGCTGCATTTTGCTGTAACTTGGCAGCAAAAGGATTTTCCCTCTTTTATCGCTCTGGCTTCTGTCATGATGATGTAATCTTATTTATTCTGATTTAGGGATTGCATCATTTTGATAGTGGCCCCATAAAGCTTCTTTCTGCAAATAATGACAACAGGATTGTCTATATCTGCTATTAAAGCCAGAACACACAGACATTTTCAACAACAGAATTTTGTGACGTGCAGAGGAGAGCAGTGCTGGATTAACCTGTTCGCCACTCAGGGGAGCAGGGGTCTCGAACTCCGGTCCTCGAGGGCCGCAATCCTGCAAGTTTTAGATGTTTCCTTCTTCCAACACACCTGATTCAAATGATCAGGATCGTTATCAGGCTTCTGCAGAGCTTGATGATGAGCTGATCATTTGAATCAGGTGTGTTGGAAGAAGGAAACATCTAAAACTTGCAGGATTGCGGCCCTCGAGAACCAGAGTTCGAGACCCCTGCGGGGGAGGATTTATTTGCAGACAGTGTATTATTTAAGCAAGCCAAGTCTATATATAAAAATGAATATTATTAGATTTTAATAAAATGATGCAGGCCCTCCTCCATTTAAAGACAAATATGTTCAGGACTGTTTGTCTGTTTGTTCATCTGTCAGAGAGATTACGGAAAAACTACCAGACCAGATTTTGTGAAACTTTGTGGAGAATGGACAAATGAGGAACCCATTTCATTTTGGTGCTGATATGAATCATATTCAGCATATACAGCATGTGACTGAAAAGAGCCGTGAATCTGATATCAGTGTCCAGACTGACCATTTCAAGTTTGGAATGAACATTATCCGCATATTTCTAGAGTTTTATAGTATTTTTTTGAGGGAGAATAAGGAGATATCAGTTTAAGAGTATTTAACCAGTAAATTTAGCAAACATTCCTGTTCGGATTATTATGAAATTGTTTCCAACACTAATAAATATGAACAACGGATGTCTACTTGTGTAATTTTGCTGCTGTTTAGATCAAATCATGTCTCTGCGTTTAAATAAAGCAGCGATTGGAGATCATTGTAGCAACAGTGCAGACTTGACCTGCTTCCTGTTCGAGTCTTTTCTTTGCTGAGTTTGTGTGAAATCAGGACAGCAGCGAGCCCACGTGCTTGGTAATCAAAGCTCTGTTTTTAGCTGACAACAACAAAAGGTGACGTGCCTGCTTCGCAAAATCACTTACTCTGATTACGTAACCTGTAATCTGAGTGTGTTAATGGTCTTCCTGAATTATTACTGCTATTGTTGTGGCTTTGGTGGGCGGGGAAGGTTAGCTGAGCGGAAGAAAAGGCCAGCAATTAAATGTCATTTATGGTCAATGTAAAAATATTTAACTTGTTTTAACAGGCAGAGGCAGGGGTTATCTGTCTTCCTGTTGTACATCTGTCAAAAGATTTTAGAATTGAGCAGCTTAGTCAACCTGACCAGTTATACAATAAATGGAGATTTATTCAAACGAAGTCACATCTCTGAGAGTTGATGGATGTTTTGAAATTGTTGTAAAATAAAGTCATTTAATCTGGCACGTTACAAACTATGATTGAGTCGATTCACTGACTTCATGACATTTTCTGTTTCACAAATGAACATTTCAGTGGTGGAGAAAACGCAGTATCATAGTCAGCAGAACTTTTGATTTTGTCTGTCCAGGAATAAGGAAGATTTGTTCAATAAGATCACGTCATGGTTGATAGTTTCCATAAAGACTATTTTAAAAGTAGAAAACACTTTAAATTAAAACTGTAGATATTTGTGTTGCTTTCAAAGTCAGACAGGGTTGGGGTAAATTGAATGTAACTGTAAACAGAATTATTATTACTATTGACATTATGTGCCTATATATATATATATATATATATATATATATTATTTTTTTGATAACTTGAGTAAAGCAACCCTTTGAATGAAATAAGAGGGGGAAAAAAAAGCAATGTTAGGATTCAAAAGACAACTATTATTATTATTTTTTGTAGTTGAAGAAATGAAATTCCTCCCATAAAAATCAACACATTTTTGCAAAGTATCTAATTTTGTGTACAAGATTTATTATAACTTAGTTAATATCTTATAGGCTCAGTATAAAAAACAGTTTTTTCATTATTACATTGACTTGATCTATTTTTTTTATTCACTTCAGTGATTTATTAAGTTCCATGCTTTGCAGTAGTATTAACACTTTTACATATATTATTGCAATTAAGCTGCAAAATGGGAAAACACACAGTAATATTTCTCATGAAACTCCAGGAAAGTATTACAACATGAAAATTGTAATGTTCATCCTAACCATGACTGATTTGTTTCAAGTGATTGCACTTTAAAAACCGTGAATCTGTTCAGAAGGTCATTTGTTTGCTGTTCAGGAGGGGACAGCGCCACACACACGAACACAGAATTAAGTCACTGCTGTTGACACAAATCAGCATGATTTGGATCAGCTGTGATCTCTCATTCTCAATTTTTCCTCCTAAAATACAGCTAAAAGTCTCACCACAGCCTCAGAAAATGAACTAAAAGTTCTTCCATACTTTTATCTGGAATGAAGAATATGTTTAGTTTGATTAGAGTAAAAATATTTTGTAAGTCTGACCAAGAAAGCAAAGAACACAGACCACAGGAAATTAAACTTCATGACTTAATCTCCTAAAAAACAAAGTAGGATTTGGGGTTAGGAGGCAACTTCAGGTTTAACTCAGGACTTTTCAGTGTCTCAGCAGCAGTGCACTTTTTATTTGGCTACATTAATGGAGTAACTTGTGCTGCACAGTTGTCCTGCTCTGGAGCAGATCAACACATATAAAAGCATAAATTTCCGACCATATAAAATATAAAAGCATCAATTCCGACCAATATTTCCTAGAAGATCACACGCAGCTTGTTGGGCAGATCATGAGAGTCTCTTATGTAGGATATGAACAGACACAGATGCCAAAAAGACACAAAACGTTCTAACTCAGGTCGCAAGAAGTGGTAAATGAACTGATAAGACCAACCGGAGCCTAAAATGGCAGATTCAAGCCAGAGTCCAGGAAGGGGTAAATTAACTGATGAAACCAGTTGGAGCTTCAAATTGCAGCTAACAGAAGAGGGACAGTCATAAAGAGAAAAAGAAAACATTCACCCACTTTTGATTACCAACCCCCAGAGCCCGACCTGGCTTAACTATCCAAATGGTCGTATGGAAAACAGACATCTGAGTGACTTTTATTGCTCTTTCTTCCTGCCCCCCCTCTCTCTCCCTCCCGATCTGAGGAATGCAGTCATGGATGGACAATGTGAAGAAAAGCACAGGAAGATCTTAATGTGCCTTTGCTATCTTGTGTTATTTTAAGTGTTGCTAAATGTGAAAGTACATAATATCATGGTAAACACCCTAAAACCTTAATCACAGTTGGAAAAGTCCTTCTTGATTTTATTAGCTTGTTACATATTCATATATCCTACTACTGTATTGTCTTTGTAGCCGTGCAAGATAAATAGCTAATGTTTAGACTTTTTGCTCCTGACCATTTTACCCATACGGGTATCAAATCTACCACCCCCTCTGGGAGGGGAGTTCTTTGTGATCGGTCAGCTATTTTATGATTTTTTAAAAAAGCTATTCACTCGAAAGACAGACAGATTTTCTGCCACAAAATTTCTCACTTTGGTCATTGTTACCAACTTTAACTTCAACACACTGATCCAACTCAACTGGAGCCGAAGGCACATCTGCCCTCAACACCAAATGTCGCTGTACCTGCTCCAGAATCCAAGGATACTGCAAGTATTGAGCTTTCTCTCTCTACTAAGGGGGTGCTTCAAAATTACAATTGGCCTTTAAAACATTCAGCATTTAACAGTGTATCTGCTGCTTTCAGTGAAAGGCTTTTCAAGTCTCCAGGTCATATGTCTGCTCCACATTGGTTTCTCATTTTCAGATTCTCATTCAGCATTTCCATTATTGTTTGTATTTTATGTTTTATATTTGTTGTCATGTTTGTTGATTGTAGTTAGTAATAAATGTACATGTACGTACAGTTGCTTCTTTTTTTCTTTTTTTTATAGCTTACTTTCAATCACTTTATGTATCTGATCTTTATAGATACCTAAGCTCAAATTTAATTTCCTGGTTAAAGTGGAATTGTGACATTATAAAACACTATTGACTGATCACCAAGAGTGAACAGTTTATTAGCACTATTGTGCTGACTTGGAGATTATATCGCTGGATGAGTAATTTAAAGGTTGGTTCAATAATTTTCTTTATGGTGGAGATAAGTCTATCTTATTTCCCCCCTACACTTAGGAAGGCAAGGATTTCTAGAGGCCGTCTAATCCCTTATCTTGGCATGCATCTGTATGAGGAATATGCTATAGATTCTCTTGAGCTGCGTGTTTCCAGCACGGCATGTCAAACTCACGCTTACCGGCTGCATATTTTAATGCAGCAGGCACGTTCATGTATGTTGTGATTAATGAATCGCACAGAGGTTCTTTGTCTAACTGGCATGCTTTTTTTGTACTTAATACTTTTGTGCATTTGTTGTGTTCTCAGGCCACTTGCTCATCTAGTCTACAATTAAAGGGCTTTTATTAAATAGCAGGTAGACATTAACTTAAGTTATACTCATTTCGTAGGGTTTTGCAGAGTGACTGGTGCTTAAGATTGCACCCATAATCCCACCGCAGCATGTCGGGATGTTCATTCCACATCATAAATGTTTAGATGAAGGATAAGTAAGGATACTCATTTGGCACATTGTCTGCATGGACACTAGAGTTTGTAGAAAATTCAGATGACTGGGTGAAAAAGATCATTCCTTTTTAGCACATACAATTCTACAATTTCATTTGGCAGATGCTTCTATCCAAAGCAATGTACATCTGAGAGCAGATACAACACAAGCAAGGATCTAGTCAGGAGAAAACAATCTAGATAAGTGCCATAGAACAAATTCAAGTGTGATAGGGTGTTGGTGCCAATAGCAGGCTGCGTGGGAGGTAATAGGATTATTTGTTTGTTTGTTTTCGGGCTGTCAAATGCAAAGGTGTTCAGTGAAGAGCTGGGTCTTTCGTCTTTTCTTCAAGACTGAGAGGGAGTCAGCAGACTGAACAGAGTTTGGTAACTCGTTCCACCGCCAGGGAACCACAGAGGAGAAGAGTCTTGCTATCAACCTTGGGCCCTGTTGGGGTGGTTATATCAGGTGGTTTTTGTTGGTGAAGCGTAGTGAGCGGGAGGGAGTGTAGCGCTGTATGAGAGAGTTCAGGTAGGAGGGAGCTGTTCTTGTTGTGGTTTTGTAAGCAAGTGTCAGGGTTTTGAATTTGATGCAGGCAGCAACTGGAAGCCAGTGAAGCGATCTGAACAGCGGGGTGACGTGCTGTTTTTGGCTGGTTGAAAACCAGACGTGCTGCTGCATTCTGGATCATCTGCAGAGGTTTAACTGTGGATGCGGGGAGGCCTGCCATTAAGGAGTTGCAGTAGTCAATGCATGATATTATGAGAGCTTGTACCAGGAGTTATGCTTGCATGTTCAGACAGGAAAGGTCTGATACATACATACAGGGGTCAGGGGATCAGAGGTCATCGTCGGAGCATCTTTGTCTCCACCATCAAGTTTACTTTTACAATTTACTTTAACACTGTTGTAATAAGCCCATAATGCTTTTGCAGATGACTTGTGACCATCAGTGCATGGTCACCAGTGTTGGAACAAAGTGGGCAGGGTGAGCTTATGACCCCTGAATGTTCAGGGAGGTTGCTTTGTGCCACAGATTTGAGCTGAGCATGTACATGACATACCAGAATGATATGATAGATTTTTTTAAATCTCCAAAACTGTTCAGTGAGGTGCTGCTGGGAAACAGGAGGTTACACATACCAGCTCTTTTTTGTTAACCCTCTATCATGAACCAAATGCAAAATAGATTTAACATGACCAAAACAAGGGTCAGAGTAGACATAGCTTTTGGCTGGGCCAAGTAAGAGCAGATTTTCAAATCGTCAAAGCTTGCGTTTTACTTCATACAGAAGAAGAGAAAAAACAAAAAATAGACCAAAAAAATCCAACAGGCGCAGGCCTTTTTTCCCTCCATATACAAGTCTTATTTTTCTCTTTTTTTTCTCTCCTGTTCCTGGGATCAAAGAAAAATACGATTTAATTTGTCATCCAGGCCTTGAAATATTTGTAATTTCTCCAGCTCACGCTGCACCTTTCTGATGTTAATTCTTGTTGTACTTGTGCCTTTGCAGGGTTTACTTGAAAAGAAATGCAAATGTAGCTTGATTATCCCTCTTAATTGACAGCTAATTCTTTGCCACTAGTGATTCTCTTAGAAGTGCAGGGAATAGGGACAAGAAAATTACCATCCTTGGAATGGAAGCAGCTGATTCACTCATGGATAGAGAGCACTTGAAGCAGTTGTTAGTCCCATCTGTAGACCATCATCTTTAGCAAGTAATTAAAAATGAATCAGCTACAGTCAAGCTTCCACACTCTCACCATCAGTATTGAGATGAGCAAAGTGTGCCACAAAAGCTCTCTCTGAACATATAGACACCTTGACTTCGTCATCTTCGGCTTCCATGTGACAAAATAAGAAAAGTCAAGTCAAGTCATTGTTATTTCTATAGTGTGAAAATTTTAGAGAACAAGTTAAAATGTTGAGGTTAAGACATTACAGTGTTATTTCTGATGTGAAATTACCGGAGTGGTTCCTGATTATGTTTAAAACCTTGCAAAACAATAAAAAATGCAGTTTCAACTATATGTAAATGCATTTAATCCATGATGAGCAACCACAGATTACATGCCACTGTATGACAGGTTGGCTTCACTGTTGTAAGGGGCAGCAACAGCAAAGTCTCTCCATCAACAGAAGACAAACTAAATACATTTCACTACTGACTCCCACCATGATTATTATATGCAATATCAATGCAATTTTATTGTTGGTCAGGCCGTAGAATAGTGATACAATCCCAGAACAGACACATGTTAAAGCACTAAGGCTTTACTTACATAGCTGGATTGAGAAAACCTGTGACTTCGCAAGCTCATAACCCTCATCGTGGCACTGCTTATGTGTAGATGTGGTTGTTAGGCTAAATGACAGCAACAAAAAAAAAGTTCAGCACGGTATGTTGAACTTGGGTGGATTTATTAAAAATGAAACACTTGATTTGTGTTGTTACGAATATCACTGCTGTGGTCCATGCTGGTCAAAAAAACGACTTGGTTAAGGCTATGAGAGAACTATAAAGTACAATACTATAATCATGCAACTGTCCTCAGTGCTTCTAAGAAAAAAATAATCATTATTTGCTCAGTCGCATGAAAGCTTGTTCGTTGTTGCATATGTTTTTGGCAGATGAACAACTTTTCAAGGACGGTATTGCAAAGGAGTTTTTTTTTTTTTGCGAATTGCAGCACTGAAACACAAAGCAATGCTCACTTAGCATTAGAGACAAGGCAAAAACTTAAAGTCACCAGTGTTCGCTGTGGAAGGTCTGAGTAAACTGTGTGACCTACTGAAAAACTTCAATATTCACATGCTTAGAATCAGGTTTTCAGAAAACTGGTACACAGTTTGTGTGCAGGGAGGTGAGTGTTAACTCTTCTTCTTCAAGTCAACTTGGTTTTAAAGTTCCTGAACCAAACTAGACAGATCATCAGCACTCTGACCTCTCAACATTCAATCCTCAGTCACAAGCTTTTAATTATTTCTCAGTTTATTGCATTCAAACTAATGAGTTGCAGTCTCTTATCCATAAAGGCCAATCTTCATTTTAAATCATTTCATTTTTCTCATTGACTAAATCTGATGATAATTTTTCAGGCATAAATTTAAAAAACTAAAAAAGTTTCCCTGTTGTATTTGTGGATGTGCACAACAAATTACGTTTTAGCCTGACAGTTAAAACGATTATCTCGTATGCACTCTATTTTTTATTTTTTTTTAGAATGAACCTTTTCCTCACCTTTGGTTTAGTCAACCCTTTTTTATGAGATTCTTCTTGTGTTTTTACATTAGAAAGTACATACACAGCCACTATAGCTCAACTGGTTGAGCTGGCGACCCATGTACAGGGGCTATAGTCCCTGACGCAGCGGCCATGGACTCAAAACAAAGTGTGATATCGAGGCTTGTTCAGTTGAAAGCGTACACTCCCATCCTGCCTTCGTCATGTCTTCATTAAATTTACAGGCTCACGAACTTCATCTTCTTTGATTTTCAGTCTATTATTAGAAGTACTTGTTGTTTTTTAGCTGTTTACGTAACAAATAAGAGCGATAGCAATATGTCACAGTCTCCTGAAATCTTTGTTCTACTTTCAAACATGCCCCTCTTACTTAATGTACTTATTACTTCTAAGATTCATCCAAATTACACTGTGGCTTCAGCACTGTCTACACGTGCATAACGCTCATTGTAAAAACAACAAAATGTTTTTGTTCTTTCAGATCGAAGCGAGAAATGCCTCCAACAGAAGAATCCGGTTGCAAGGTTGGCAGGTATGATGTTTTTCCTGTTTTTTTGGTTGTTTCTGTTTGTTTGTTTTTTATTTAGGTCAAGAACTATTTAGAACTATGACAGAGGCAAGACGGAAGAATCTTATAGTGGAGATTAAAGAAGCATGTCTTGACCTAGAGGAACATAGTCAACATTTTAATCACACTATTATTTGGAGTATGTAGAGAGGAGGATGAGATGCTTCCGTGTATCTTACTAAGCCCAAAATAATCCAATCTTATCCTTCAGAATAAGGAAATTTGTAAGATTATTTCTAAATTCTGCACAAACTCAATAGGATGCCAACAAGCTACGATGTTCAAAATCAAACTACTGAGGGAACGTCAGGTCTACAGAACGATGGAACATGTTATTATTAGTTAACACTTAAATAGTCGGTGAATAGCTCAAGTGATTTGGGGAATCATCAGATTGGATGTGCTGTATAAATTTTTTGTCCCAGCAAAATTTATTGGGAGCAAACATGTGCAGCTGCATAACAAGACATTTATACATTCTGGTCATTTGTGTTATAGTTCGAGAATTTTGTAGTTAAAGGAACAGATGAGATCTTGTTGCAATTGTATCAAAACCTTCAACTGTGGAAATATCGACCAGATTGGAGTAATAAAGACTGTGGATGGAGCCATGTTCCTTGCCAGTCTGAGAGCAATTTCGTTGAATATTAACTTAAGGGAAGGGTGTTCACTTACAACAACCTCCTCCATAGAGCCCTGGACACCTGTAGGGTAGCACCATCTAAATGTCTCATGCATAAACCAACGCTCAGATTAAATCACATTTTCTTTACCTTGTTAATATATTCATATGATGTTTTTTATTTGCTAAATGACAAATCATGAGGGAAAAAAAGCGTTGAAACACACTGGATTAACATGTCCATTGTGAAACTCCAGTGTACCAATTACCGTTTAAAAACCAGATTCAAACAGCCAAGTTCTCATACCTAATAAACCTAAGGAACCTAAGAAACTTCATACTACCAATAGTACAACTTTATTTTTTGTAACATCAAGTATTTTTACAGTGTTTGAGCAATTGGTGCAGGGGTGGATGGACGAGGCGGGGACTTTATGGATCTAAAGAAGGCAACAGTGTAGACTTACATCTAAGCCATTTTAAGGCATGAAGGTATTACTGGGGGAAAAAAAACAAACAAAAAAAACTTCTACTAATGTTTGATACACAGAGAGGAGTTTTAGGGGTTAAATCAATGTCAGAAGATGGATTTCAAATGTACCTGTGACCATTTTATCAAACCTCCACACCAAAGGCTGTACAAAAGCTGCACCAAAACGTCATTTTTTTGTAGTTGTTCTTTGGTCACAGCTTTTGGGAAACCATAGTTAAAGTCTACAGCCATGCCAGCAGCTCTGTGAGCATATCGTAATTTGGGCGACATGCTAAAATCATAAAATAATAAAATAAAATAATCATTAAAATAAAAAATAAAAAAACGACTGTAAAACAAGTTAAAAAAAAAAAAACAAAACACACACAATGAACCCACACCCGTGTAGACTATAATCTGCTGTTGGAGAACCTGAAGGTGACTGGCTACATAGACAATGCACTGGCTGGAGTTTTGGGGCCCCAACAGGGTGGTATCAGCAAACCTTTGCCCTCCTCCACCTAACTGATTATTTACCATCCAATGGGCCTATCAAAACATGCAGAAATAATACTTCTAGCACCTTCAGAAATCATATCTCAAAAACCTCAAGGACCAAACCAGTTCACACCCATATTTAACATATTGTATCTATTGAATTAGCCACTGAGTATATTGCATAATGACACCAGTACTGACCAGTTAGTAGGCATTGATCAGGTCACAACCCTCTTGTATGGCAATGGAAATATAATTAGCGTACCTTCCTATATTACATAAATGTTGATCATATGCATCTTTCACTGAAAATGGTTGTAAAAACCACTAGGTCAGAGATGAGATAAGTCATGGTGTTTATGATGGTGAACCTTTTTAGGAAGAGAGCTCAAGACGATGCTGTAAGTACCTGATAAGTGGTGTCAAAGACCCCCTCCTCAGTTTAAAGATGGCTGTTCTAGAGATAGTCTATAACCGTAACTGTATTGTATGTTCTGAAGCTAAAGGGTTAATGACATTTTACAATACTATCATATGTCTGTTATTACCATGCCATCAATATGTAATTTTCTGCATATCATGGTTATCGTCAATACCAGAATATGGCATGACTTTGGCATGTGCTGCTGTTACAAAATCATTAATCTCATGAATTCTGTGGTTCACTGGTTTATTTTGCACATCAAACCAGAAGGTTCCAAACCTCTGTGAGAGAGAGACAGTGTTGGTCAGCTGAAACATGATAAGGGGAACAATTACAGGCAGCTTTATAAAGCAGAAAACAAAAATGTTGTTGTACGGTGCTGACGAGATGTGGTGAGACATCTCGGAGATAGTCAGACATTTGGTTTTTCTAAGAGTCTTTGTAATAACTTGTTATGGATCAGATTTATTGTATAAAAAGACGTCAACAGAATAGAAGAATTATTGAATCGTTGCTTTGAGACCCTTAACTTTACAGTGCAAGTTCACAAATTAACTCTCCGCTTGTTCTTTTTCATCAGCCCCATTTTCAAGAGGAGTCCAGACGTAACTAAAGCCTGGGGCACAAAGTCGGAGCACCTGCTGAGGCTAGATGAACATGACTTCACAATGCGACCAGGATTTGGGGGTAAGGAGGTCCAGCTATTGGAACTACACGAGAAGTGTCAATCATTTTTCTCTCAGGCTGTCCGTAGACTAATCTCTGTTCAAAGATGCTTCGGCTTTAACTGTCCAGACAGGTCATTGGCATGTGTCAAGCATTCCTCTGGACTTTACGCTAAACCCAGACCCACACATCCAATCTATACTCTCAGCTAAACATGGGAGGTGGGAGTGTCCAGTGCTGGCTCGTGGAGATGACATAACAGAGTGGGATTATGTCTGAGCAGCGCTGCTGTGGGCTCGTGATTAATTACCAAGCAGCCACAGTCTGCAGCTTGAAGTTCAATAACTACCATCCTAATCTGTCACACTGGCAGGACTCAAAGCCTGAGTCAGTGTGTCTTTAAATGCTCGCACTTGCATTTCCGCTATAAGTTTGAAATCTCATGTGGAGTTGTTGAAAAGCCTTTACTGGGTACACTTTGGCCAGATGCTACTGCTGGTAAATACAACAGGATTTACTATCAGATTAGCTACTGTAAACTCTGTGCTAGATGCATACTGTAAATGTCTGGTCTACACAACAAATATTTCATACAACGTTCTTCAAAGATCATACACAGTTTGCTTAAAGGTCTTTCTTCCATGTGGCAAATCCGAGTTGAACTTAATCACTTGAAATATTGGCAATGGATTTACTATAAGTTAAAACTGGAGCATACTTCTCCATCTGCATGTAAAGGAAGGATGTTTTTTAGAGAATTTTGGAGACCAAATTTTGGCTCTGAGTCAATCCAGTGCACCTCTTTTGTAGCAGGATGCAGCCACTGGTCTGTCAGTCAGTACTGGAGATGGTTTGAGTCTCAGAATTAGAACCTTATGATCAGTTTGGACCCAGGACCTCTAAAATAAGGGGTCTAGAAACATAGCCCACTATCTCAGACTGAAGCCACACTAGCTACTCATATTCAAACACAAACTTAGAGTAATAATGCGTGGATGTGATCAGTGTGTGATCAGGGGGGAGAGCAGCAGGCGAGTCAACTGTCCATCATAGCTGTCAATCAACAGCCACACAGCGCACATCAAAACCTTCTTAAAGACTTAAATTCTACTTAACAAAGCAGTAATATCTAAAATGACAAATATCACACTTATTAGACACCCGAATTTAACCGGCATAGAGCATCCATCATTGGAATTAAAGTTTAAAGTAGGTTCACACTGGCTTGGGTCTCAAGATGCTAGGGAGAGGCAACCATTGTTGTCAAGGTTAAATGTAGAAGTATATGAATAAAGCTACGTCAAAAATACAGTGCTAACTTTTTGCAGATAACAGGATGAATCCATAGATCACTCCTGTCATGCACTTTGTCAGTCCAATCATTCTTTATACTCGTGATACCTTTGCTTTTAGCCATGTGAACAAATGACTGGTACTGTGTTATTCTTGAGAGGACAGTCAGTCATTGGTGCAGCTGGATGTGAAGCCCTGGTTATAAGGAAAAAAGAGATTGCAACTACCACTAGATAGCAGCTTAACTAGGATGTTGTTACTCAGACAATGATGTTATGTCATCAGTCAGGTTATGACAAAACCTTCACTTTAATTCCCTAAAGCCACAGTTTTACACACTATTTTTCACGTGCTTTATGACTTTTTTTTTTCAATTTTACAAATATAGAAAGTCGGAAGCCACGCTGAAGAAAAGTATTATGAGGGAAAACATTCAGCACCATAATATCAATTAGGATTAGAGTACTCACCCCTGCTGGCTTTGTGCTCTGTTTTTAGGAAAATCTGCACACAACTGCTTTTATGTGGATTTGGAGAGCAGAAGTCGCTATTTGAAGCAAAACACTTGGCATAAAAAGGAGTCACGACCTCCAAATAAAAGACAGATAATCCAGACAGCTCCGAATGAGGCACCTGCACTGCATTTGCACCCCTACTGTCCACTGCCATGTATTCAGATAACACTCATGTTAGCACTTCTATAATACATCTTTGTAAACTGCTATATCTTCTTCCAGGGCCTGCAGTCCCAGTTGGAGTGGATGTTCAGGTTGAAAGTCTGGATGCAATTTCTGAGGTTGATATGGTATGTACTGTAAACTGTACTATATTTATGCTGTATTTGTTTTAATTTTAAAATAGAACTGAAATATTTATTTATTTTCTTGTTTAAGGACTTTACAATGACCCTGTATCTGAGGCACTACTGGAAAGATGAGCGTCTGTCCTTCAGAAGCAACAACAACCAGAGCATGACTTTTGACGGCCGCATAGTGAGGAAAATCTGGGTACCCGACATGTTTTTTGTCCACTCGAAGAAGTCCTTCACACATGACACGACCACTGACAATGTCATGCTGCGTGTTTACCCCGATGGAAAAGTCCTCTACAGTCTCAGGTACGTCTTTCTTGATTCAAAGATCTCCTACCGAATTATTATTCCTGGAACTATGTTTAAGTCAACAGCAGCCAGCAGCAGTGATTGTGGGTAGTTTCCTGTGATGATGCATCATAGTTACATTGGAGGGTTTGGTACCATTATGTAGACAGGATAAGAATTGATTTATAAGTAATTTATAAGTATTCAGCCTCTTCAAGTCAGTACTTAGTAGATGCACCTTTGGGGCTTGAGCCTATCCCAGCTGACTTAAGGCGAAGGCAAGGGACACCCTGGACATGTCGCCAGTCTATCGCAGGGCCACACTTAGAGACAGACAACCAAGCACATTCACATTAACACCTACAGACAATTTATAATCACCAATTAACCTCAACATGTTTTTGGACTGTGGGAAGGACCTGGAGAACCCAGAGAGAACCCACGTTGCACGGGGAGAACATGCAAACTCCACGTAGAAAGATCCCAGGTGTCCTCACCGAGACGTGAACCAGCGACCATCTTGCTGCGAGGCAACAGTGCTAACCACCGAGCTACCTTGCAGCCCCCAAAGATCTTTCCTCCAGTTAACTTCAGAGTTGCCCACATGTGTCCTGCCAAACTGTAGTTGAGATTTGATATTCGCTTTGTCAACACTAGCTTTCTCTTTACCGCTCTCCCATAAAGCTTTGACTGATACATAACAGTTAACAGTTGTTGTATGAACAATTTCTCCCATCTCAGCTGCTGAAGCTTGTAACTCCTACACTGGAGTCAAAGGTGTCTTGGTGGCCTCCCTCACTAGTCTCTTTCTTGCACAGTCACTTAGTTTTGAGGGCAGCCTGCTTGAGACAAATTTACACATGTGCCATATTCCTTCCATTTCTTAATGATAGAGTTTTATGGATATTTATTGACTTTTTTGTCATATATTTTCATCTCCTGACCTTTTCACTGAGTTGCTTTGAGTGTTATTTGTTTTTCACATTGTATAGCCTCTATACAATGTTTAAAATTATTGCCTGTGCTAACTGACCCAACCTGGCAACCTACGCCAGTTGGAGTCACTGTGCAAAAGCACTTGTCAAGAAATAGTTACAACACATACCAGAGCTGAAAAACAGAGAGAAACCAAACAATTGCCCCTTGAACAAGCACTTGAAGAGCATTATCAACAGCTCTTTGGTCCCTTTCAGTTATATGGAACTTTTTGAGCTGGTGTGCTTGAGCTGCATCGAGTAAGGAGGATGGAAAGATAGGGAGATAGATGTTAGGATTCTCTAGAGAAAGCTACACTGTAGAGCTCTTCTAAACCATTGCAGGGCTATACAGGGATATACAGAGATGAGACTGTAGGCATTTAATCAATGGCAAGTTAAAAAACTTAAAGAAATTAATATCAGATTTCACGTAAAACTTACTATTGAATTTTGACATTGGCAGGATTTGGCTTTACTTTACATGAATGGACTGAAAATTTGTGAGATAATCCTTTAGGCCCCATAGCAGCATACTCAGTGTTAGGATTTAGATTCTCAAATATCTAAAAGGCAAACATTTTCACACCGCCTCATTAATACACTGTTGAGCACTCTGCTCACAAATCATTATTTGCAAAACGTCAATGAGCTAAAACATTACTGCTCACAGTTGAAAGGACTAATGGTGATTATCTCATCTTTTTTAACAACACAACATGTCAAGGTGAGAAAGAAGTCCATTTTTATACTCAGCATGTTAGAGTGGGCAAGTGTAAAGACCTGAATGACAAGGGTTGATTTATTATGGCCAAGTCTGACTTCCAAGACCTAAATGATCTGTTGCTAACGTCTTGGTGCCACACAGGACACCGCCAGCATGTTTCCATAGATCTGAGTTGTTTTTGCAGCATATTGTAGACCAGAAGCGTATTAGGCAGGTGGTTATAACGCTTTGATTCATTAATCATCAGTCCTGTAGTTTCAGGTGTTTGTGCAATTCACACTACAGCTACATAAAACTCCTTCGATTAAATTCGACCCTTTTTCTTTAGTACTAAGCAAAACCCGTACATGTACTACTTTCTCAGTGGAGCAGGTTATGATGTTAGTAGGTATTCAGGAATGTAATTGCCACGGGCAGTCCTGCCAAGACAAGCGCCACCAGCTGTCACGGTACAAGACGTGTATTTAAGGGGATAACGTTCTGCCAATTATGACTACTAATACTGCCAAGCATGACCTTGTAATTTTGGTGAGCGATAGGAGGCCTCGAGCCAAGATAGCTGATTCCGTAATCCACGTTGGCAGAGAGGAACAGCTGGCCATCTGCCTCCTGTTGTGACCACTCAAGCATAATACTGACTTCCTGACAGACTAGCACAAACAAAATTGAAATGATGACATCAACATCCACAAACCTACAAATCCATTCACCGGCATTCAGTGTTTAATCTGAGATATTTGACTGATCGCGCTGAAGGTGAGGGCTATTTATGGGACAGTGAGGCATGTGATGACGTACGAACACCCTGCAATGGGCTGAAAGTATTTGTCCTACAAACGAGGGATTTTGTTAGGTGAAATGTGGTTGTTTTGCTACCTTCTGAGTGTATACTGTATGCATGATAATAACAAATGAGAATGCATATATACTGTCAATAATATATATGCATAGTCATCACATGGCCTGGATAATCTTGGAGATTTTCCGGACTATGGCAGATTGGCGAGTGAGGATGACAGGTTGGTGACCTCGCCTGCAGAACGTGTAGCACTCCACCGCTCTGTGAGCTGGATTATGTATTTTCATTTATCATCTCTGTGCTGGAAACCAAATCTCAGCTGAAGCCCCACACAGTATTTGCCTGGAAATATGCTCTGCTGGGACACGTGTTATGTGCTTATAATATACACTGACCACATTAAAACCAACTGCTAAATATTGTGTATTTTCCACTCATGCCGCCAAAACAGCTCAGACTCGTCTGGCCATGGGGCACTTGTTCTGCATAAAACTGCACTGAATGCAGCAACAGCAAGGAGAACAATTAATTGATGATTTTCAACCATCCCAGGGGTTTATAGTGATTTTTTAGCTTGAGTCATATGAATCAAAACTAAATAATGATAAACCTGCCACAGCACAAGCCATGATAATAACACTATTATCATGGCCTGTGTTTGGGCAGGAGTAATACTTAAGCTGCATACCAATCCTTGATTATTTCTGGACTACTGGAAAAATTCCTCTCTTCCCTGAAATCAAAATCTACAGTGCTAATTCATCTATTTGGCGTTTAAAAAAAAAAAAAAAAAGACTCTTTCATGTCAAGGTGAAACAGATTTCTACAAAGTAATATCAATTAATTAAAAATTTAAAAAATAAGAATTGATTTATAAGTCATTTGTAAGTATTCAGCCTCTTCAAGTCAGTATTTAGTAGATGCACCTTTGGGGCTGGAGCCTATCCCAGCTGACTTAAGGCGAAGGCAAGGGACACCCTGGACATGTCGCCAGTCTATCGCAGGGCCACACTTAGAGACAGACAACCAAGCACAGTCACATTAACACCTACAGACAATTTATAATCACCAATTAACCTCAACATGTTTTTGGACTGTGGGAAGGACCTGGAGAACCCGGAGAGAACCCACGCTGCACGGGGAGAACATGCAAACTCCACGTAGAAAGATCCCAGGTGTCCTCACCGAGACGTGAACCAGCGACCATCTTGCTGCGAGGCAACAGTGCTAACCACCGAGCTACCTTGCAGCCCCCAAAGAACTTTCCTCCAGTTAACTTCAGAGTTGCCCACATGTGTCCTGCCAAACTGTAGTTGAGATTTGATATTCGCTTTGTCAACACTGGCTTTCTCTTTACCGCTCTCCCATAAAGCTTTGACTGATACATAACAGTTAACAGTTGTTGTATGAACAATTTCTCCCATCTCAGCTGCTGAAGCTTGTAACTCCTACAGTGGAGTCAAAGGTGTCTTGGTGGCCTCCCTCACTAGTCTCTTTCTTGCACAGTCACTTAGTTTTGAGGGCAGCCTGCTTGAGACAAATTTACACATGTGCCATATTCCTTCCATTTCTTAATGATAGAGTTTTATGGATATTTATTGACTTTTTTGTCATATATTTCATCTCCTGACCTTTTCACTGAGTTGCTTTGAGTGTTATTTGTAGTCATGGCGAAGTTTTAGTCAGGAGCACCAATTCACCAGTGACTGGACCTTCCAGATACAGGAGTCTATATACAACAATCATTTGAGACTCATTCAGTGCACTGATTTTCATTTCACTAATTGAGTGACTTGTAGCAACAATTGGCTGCACCAGTGTTGAATTAGGTCAGTCACTTTAAAGAGAACGAATACCCCTCCAGTCACTTATTTTACTTCTAAAATTGTTTGTAGAAATCAGTTTTCACTGTGACATAAATGAGTCTTTTTTTGGTACATTCTTGACCATTATTCAATGCTGTAAAGAACAAGAGTGGAAAACTTCCAAGGGGGTGAATACTTTATATGCACACTCTATGAACAGTTCAGAAGTTTTCATAAAAGCTCCTGGAACCTTTTCTTACTGTTGACTGTTAAAGATGTATTGGCATCATAGCTGTACAGTTGATTGGCAGTCACATATGCAAGGATCAACAATTTACTGCCTTGAGCCATTCTGTATGGTCAGCAGAGCAGTACTCTGGACTGACATGCCTTTGGTGATGTTAAAGTTATTTATGCCTCTTAACATTTTTAAATACCCAACTACGTCTTTTGTCGTTGCAGGGTGACAGTCACAGCCATGTGTAACATGGACCTGAGTCATTTTCCTCTCGATACGCAGACATGCTCTTTGGAGATTGAGAGCTGTAAGTGATTAATGTGTTTTTTACTTGCCTTCACAGTTAAATTGTCTCAGCCAACTGCACTCTGTACATTTCTAGTGTTGCTAATAATTGTCTGTTCTTTTCACAGTAAGAATATGCTGGATTAATGAGCAAAGTTTCGTTTTCTTGTGCCTTGGATGTGGGTCTTCACTTGGTTGTCATTTTCGTGTAAGACTTTGTTTCATACGCAGTGATACTTCTTGTCTGTCCAGATGCGTATACGGATGATGACCTAATGCTGTACTGGAAGGAAGGGAACAGGTCATTAAACACAGATGAGAGAATTTCTCTCTCACAGTTCCGCATTCAGGCGTTCCACACAACCACGAGGCTGGCCTTCTACAGCAGCACAGGTACTGACAGAACATGCAGAGCTGTCTTACACTTTAGGTCCATGGTGTCCCAACACTACGCAGCTTCATCTTTAACTATATCTCCTCTCCAGGCTGGTACAACCGTCTGTACATCAACTTCACTCTTCGGCGTCACGTCTTCTTTTTCCTGCTACAGACCTACTTTCCTGCAACTCTGATGGTCATGTTGTCCTGGGTGTCATTCTGGATCGACCGCAGGGCCGTTCCTGCCAGAGTGCCGCTGGGTAAGAGTGTTTGGCCTGTTGTTGTTAGATAACTGGCGTTTAGTTAGATAACCGCTGCTTTGGTTCTGAGTTCTAGACGTTTAGCTGAATCAAACTGCTTTTCACATTACATTTCTTTTGCCATTTTTCTACAATTTTACACCTGACAAAAATGAAATAATATAACTATAATGAAGGCTGTTTTCCAGTTTTGATGCACATGATATTTCAGGGTATTCTAAAAAGTATTTTTGACTGTCCTAAACACTGTGCACCATGTCTTCCAAAAGAGTACATAATTGTGAGATCCTCTGGCTTTACAAGTTGGAAATTTGTCCTTAGAAACTGCATGTGTGTTTGTAGTGGCAGGGTTAATGCGGCCAAGAGAAGAGATTAAATTATCTTATCAGTTGTAGCATATACTGGGATGTAAGCTAGATAGCAATAGACTGGCGACCTGTGCAGGGTGTCCCCTGCCATCGCCTTAAGTCAGATGGGAAAGGCTCCAGCCCCTCGTGAGTGAGGATTAAGCGGTGTATAGATAATGGATGGATGGATGGACGGATGGATGGATGGATGGATGGATGGTCTGATATCCTAAATAGCTTTATCATTGTCATGCTCCAGTTCTGCTTTCAAATGATGTAATTCATGAATAGCACGAAAACCAACTTCTCCTCAGCAGCCTCAGGTTAGCGTTAGGCTCCGTGTAACTATGACAACAACAGTCTCAATCTAAAAATCTAATCAGGAATGCATTAGTGTCAATAATCACATACTCACAATCTGACTCCGGGATATTGCCAAATAAAAACTGTTTGTAGAAAACTAGGAAGTTGTGCATTTAATTGAAAGTATGAATGAATTAACCCGTTTGTAATATAGAGCTATGACTTTGAGGGTTATTAGGGGCATCTATCAATATCAAGTTTGACCTGAAAGTTACATGTTCCGGTCGCCGTTTTCCTGCATGTGTCTTTCTTTTCAGAGTTGTATTCGTTTTCAGATAAATGAAAATAACAACGAGCATGTAGCCCCAACACAGTAAAAGCATTTATATTTTACCACTAACAAACGATTATAGCTATGAACGTTATTGTTGGGATCACTTTCAGAGCGATCTCAGAACAGCTTCTCTCTGCCTGGATATATTTCTTGCCCTTCTATTTGAATGAATATGGAGCTTATACGCATGTGTTTACAGAATGTTAATGTTGGTTAGTGTGGGCGCACACATCTGTATAGTGATCTCTATAGTTATTAGTGTGGACGGGCCATAACGGTAAAACTGGTTCATGCCTGACTGTCGGAAGAAAAGAACGACAAAAACATCACAATATGTGCACTGTCTAATAGAGAAAAAATGGGTCCCAGACACAAAACATAATTCCAATTGAAATGTATTGGTTGGAATTTCGTGCTGGGGAACATGAAAAAGTTGGGCAAATCGTGTTCCAGGATAAGAAACAATAGATTAAGTTTCATAACTATTTCATGAATTGCCGTGAGACTGGGTTGAATTTCCATATCATTAAATGGTTTCGTTTTAGTATTGGCAGCCCACAACTTCGACTTCAATAATCTTAAATGGCAATGAGAAGTAACTAGTTGGTCACTTCAAATGTTGTTAAATTCAGCATTCTGTCAAGTTTTTTTTTAAAATTTTTGTGCTGTCAATATTTGTACACACCTGACAGTATTAATAATGCAAAGGTGCACCATCCTGAACAGTGGAATTAATACTCTTCTCTCTGCAGCTGCTCTCTCAGCTCTTTACTCTGGTTTGACTTTAACATTAAATACATGACCTCTTTCACCTGCTCTGAAGCTGTTGTCCTGTTTCAGGTATAACTACGGTACTCACCATGTCCACCATCATCACTGGAGTCAACGCCTCCATGCCCAGAGTCTCCTACATCAAAGCTGTAGATATTTACCTCTGGGTCAGTTTTGTCTTCGTCTTCTTGTCGGTGATAGAATACGCTGCAGTCAACTACCTGTCTACGCTGCAGGAACGTAAGGAGAGGAAACTCCGAGAGAGGGTAAGTAGCATCTTCGACATGCTTTTAGATTCCAGGAAGTATATAACACTACTAATTAAAATGACCTCAAACAGTATTTATACAGCGCAATTCATGCATAATTTGTAAGTACATAACATAAAAACAAGAGACCATGTCATTGAAGGAATGAAACAATGAACATTTTTTAACAGTTAAGTAAAAACACTTAGAGTTCATTCTGCATCAATTCACCAAATACTGCACACCTAATCATCTTCAATTGGATGTTTTTTATTGTGATTATTGATTGGGTTGACCATGTGTAAAAAGTGGGGTTAGAGGTAACATTAGCTTTTGGGGTTTCAAATCCTTAAAAAAGGGGTAGGGTCATGTCGATTTTTGCATTGTTTTCATCGTTTGCATGGTTTTCTTTGTGCCAATCTGTGGAGCATCCATCCGTCCATCCATTATCTATAAACCGCTTAATCCTCACTAGGGTCGTGGGGGGCTGGAGCCTATCCCAGCTGACTTAGGGCGAAGGCAAGGGACACCCTGGACAGGTCACCAGTCTAACACAGGGCCACACTTAGAGACAGACAACCAAGCACACTCACATTCACACCTACAGACAATTTAGAATCACCAATTAACCTCAACATGTTTTTGGACTGTGTGGGAGGAAGCCGGAGAACCCGGAGAGAACCCATGCTGCACGGGGAGAACATGCAAACTCCACGCAGAAAGATCCCGGTGCCCCCACTGGGACGCAAACCGGCAACCTTCTTGCTGCGAGGCAACAGTGCTACCAACTGCGCCACCTTGCAGCATCTGTGGAGCAATGTTGGAGAAATAATGCAGTTAAAGTCCTGAAATTTTGTAGGCTCATTGATATGGACATATACATATGGTCTTCGATGGTGCAACCCTGCTTTGATAGAACAGTGCAAACCAGATATATGATGGTGTAAACTATTTTTGTCTACTCCAATATTTCACATCGTAAAAGCATTTATTTTTCACCCTTAGAGGCTGAATAGTTTTCCTGTGATTGGCACCAATAGGAGCTTTAAAAAATTGTGGCACTTCAAACATTGCTTCACACATTGGTGCGAAGAAAAACTATGCAAAAAGCAACATGACCCCACTCTTCTTTAAGACTTCTAACTGCACCTGTAACTAAAAATTGTATGTTTTGCTTACTAATATGTGCATGCACCTGCACCAAGAAAAAAATTTGACAAATATGTGATAATCAGGCGTGGACTTCCTTTAAAGTTTGGTCAGTTGAGGTGAATGGATAAAGTAGTGTTAGAATAATGTATCTTAAGATTTAGTTTGAAAGTATGGGTATGTCTTCCCTCCCTTCTTGCAGCTGCCATGTACCTGTGGCGTGGCCCATCCTGGCATGATGTCATCCAGCTACAGCGAGGTGGACGCCAACACCACCGGGAACTATGGCATGCGTGAGGAGAATGGGGTGAAACGGGAAAGGATGCTAGTGCAGCTGGCAATGGAGAGCGACCAGGTTACTGGCCACGTCGGCTCCACCGTCTACAGCAGCGTCTGGATCGACACGCATGCCATAGACAAGTACTCCCGAGTCATCTTTCCCGGATCTTACGTCCTCTTCAACATCATCTACTGGGCCATCTACTCCATTTAACACTCTCAAACAGACCTGAGGCTAACAGAGGTCTGGATGCTTCCAGCAGAAGTGTGAAAAATTTGCCTCCTTAACAGATACACTTGTGGTAAAGTGGAGAATTGTGCACCAAAATCTCATTTTCAGGTTTTTGCATTGAGAAGAAAAGAAAGACAGACTTGTGTACAATTCAGGTCTTCAGGTAAACTTGACTCCCTCTCAAAAAAAAAAAGAAAACCTGAGGTCCTGATATGAATCGAATTTACGCACAACACATTCTACAATGACATTTGTGACTGGACAGAGCCTCCAACAATCTGGGAACAGTTTAGCAGGACTAAACAGGACTCATGGAAGCAAATATGTTCAAATAATAGAGCTGACCATGTCATGTAACCATTTTCGAACAAATACAAAAATTATAATTGTCAAGACACCTTAAGATTCTTTACACATTAAGTTAAACAAACTAAAAGCAGGGGGTAGCATAGGACAATAATCACATGTTAAAAGTGAGTTTTAATGCAGGCAGCTATGAAGGAATCCTCGTCTTGTCCCCACTTGGTCCTTGATACTGGAGACAGAAATGCAAACTAAGAACTCTAAATAGATTGCAGGCCGCACATCAGTAAAAGTTGAGTGTAAACCTGTTGTTTTCTGGCCTCAAGTCTGTTTCGATGTGTCACTTTATTGGCTGTTTGACAAGAGGCCCTAACTGTTGTGTTTCTCGTAGCATTACTCCGTTTTGTGAGCTCTTTGTGGCACCAGAGAAGATAACGAGAGATTGCAATGCATACGTATTGTTTCCATTCATGGGTCCACAGGTCAGAATGGCATTATCAAAACTGCCCTGTCCATTATGCACACACCACCTGGTGTCTTTGTAACACAAAGGATGAACCCAAGCTAATAGGTGCGTAACATTGTTGTATTTTGTTCTTTGAGCCATTGTGTGGGAGACATTGGTTAATTTTGATTTTTTGGAGATCAGTGAAGACCCTGTCTGCAGTCAAAGACATTTGCTTCATCAGATCTGAGGCGATCTCACCTACATAAATATGTGTTTTGTGGTGTGTTTAAACTGATTTATATGGAGAAGTTAAACTGACACAAATACTGTAACATGATGTGAGGACCTGGAAACATGCAGTTTCATATGGAGGACAAAAAAAACAATAAAAGCAGAAATATTGAATTAAGTTAATACTGTGAAATAATTTTTTATTCCAATGAGTCAACTCTTCTTTAGGTTATTTCTGTATTCCTACGTTTTTTCATTTATTTATTTCTGTATGTATATATGTAAATTAGGTCCTAACCTCAGTCAAAAGCAGGATTTATCAGCTGGGAAAAGCAGAAAGGTAGAAATAAAGGAATGTCTTAAATAAAAGTTTTTGTTTTTTAATGTAGAAACAGATTCAAGACAATCATTTAATCATGATTTTTTTTTTAAACTTATGTTTATTGATATATTTATTTATTCGTGTGCTTTTTGTCCTCCATATGAAACTGCATGTTTTTTTTCTTTTTTAAGTATCTTCACATCACATTTCAAGAGTTTTTCATCCTGTTCTGGTATGTAGTGAAAAACATTTTCTCTGCAAGTTTTTTCACTCCATGTGTTGTGTTATGTACAAGTCTTAATATGACAGAGAGCATCAGGATTTTTTTTTTTTTTTTTTTACATACCAAAAGTTCAAGTTGTGTGTGATGAATGTATGTGTGTGAGTGTGGCCCAGTCATTGTGTTGATTGTTGTGGCACAGAATCTTGCAGTAATGAATACACTGAAATACTGTGGTAATTTTAAAAAAGCCACTGTATGTGCTGTAAATTGTGTTTAATTTTGGTTTGTTTTTTTCATCCTTTAATCAGATCTTCAGGGGTTTTTTGGTCTTCGTCTGGTCACTTGATCTGATCCTTTATACATTTGAACATCCAATTTAGTAGCAGACATTAGTGTACATCTAAGAAAGAATTTGAGGTTTTTCTACTTCCATTCCATGTCCATTTCTTTTTACCTCTCCTTATCTACATTATGGTGTCATAAATGATGACTGTTGACTGTCTGGTAAGTCAGTGTACAGAATTCTTGATTAAAATGGTTTTCTTACAGCAGCTCTGTTGACTTACTTTGGGAAATTGGACTAGGGTTAGCGGAGCATGAGACATACTCAAGTCTTTTTTGAGATGAAAGAAGACCTCTTCTGTAAAGATCAGCATCCTAAAAAGTTTTAAGAGGTTGCTTTTGAAATCCGTCCTTCTGTTGCTTTCATCTTATGTAATTCTGCTGTAACATCTGCTGTGGCTTATGTCAAATTTTAGACAAAGCCAAACTGACAGACATAGTGGGCAAAAACTGAGGGCTTAGCAAAATCTGACATGTCATCGTAAACAAACTCCAACATCCACTGTCATCTGATAAAACGGGATTAATGGTGTGGGCTCGACACAAAAGGTCTTCATCTGTTAAGATACAGTTAGGATGGGAGAGACCGGCAACGCAGATGAAAGTTTTAAGTGGATAAGTAACTCATTGTTTGGTAGACCGTATCACAAAGCGATATTTGCGTGTTATAGCTGGATTTAACTTAGATCGTCATGGTAACCCATGTTTCACAGCTAACCAGCTGTGGACTGAGTTTGTTTTAAAGGATCAGAACACTTTAAGAGCAGTACAAGTCAAAAAAATTTAACAAATTTTTCATTATTTTAATATTTTAAAACATCAGAACTATGAAACAACACATTTGGATTTAAGTGGGAGGGGAAAAAACAATAAATTTAAATTTTAGATCCTTCAAAGAGTCCTTTGTTTGCTTTGATATCAACTTTTTTTACATTTTCTCCACCTGCTTCACAAGGAACTTTTATAGTTCGTACTAAACTATATGAGATGGATGTATTGAGTAACTGTGGAGGTCATTTCAGGTGATGCAGCACTCCATCACTCCAAAGTCTTACACAACTTGAAGATTTGGTTCATTGTGTTGCTAAAGAACAAGTGTTTGTCCCACTAAGCCCAAACCAGATGACATGTCCTGTCTCTGCAGGATGTTGTAGTAGCCACAGTCTCCTCCATGCTCCACAGTTGGAAACACACAAGTAAATCACATCCAATCACCTTCTCTGTGCTTAGCCTTCAACTGATCTAACATCCTTTTTTTGTCTTGACCACAGCAGTTTGCTTTTTCCTATTGGTCTCCCTTAACGGAGGTTTCTTTGCAGCAGTTCCACCATGAAGGCCTGATTCACACGGTCTGCTCACAACATGCCTCTGCTGCTTGACGAAGCGAAGTAATGATGTGGGCTCCAGTCTTGATTTCTGAGGCTGATAACTAATGAACTGGATCTTCATTGACTATTTTGAGTCAATAAACTCCTCTGCCGTCTGTCTGTGAGCGAGAAATCAACTACAGTGTGCCATCTTGAAGGATAACTCAACTCCTAAAATGCATCTTGAGGGGAGAGGATGCTTGCAAACAGAGCTATGAGCGAGGATGCACAGGTGTGTCATCACTGTATCCTTTACAGTAGTGTTTTCCCATGACATAAAAGAAGCCTGATGCACAGCTGGAATATACAGATCATGTCAGTAGCCAGACTGACAAATGTGTGTATATTATGCATACATGATACCAACCATATAAGTCACTCTGTGAGGGTTATGGATTATGTTTTGTGTGTTTTTCTCTGTCTCCTGGGTTTGTGTCTTAGTGGGCGTGTGTTTTCTCTGCAGGCTGGGCGGAGCCGAAGGGGAGAGGACTTTCTCGCGCTGGCAGGTGCAAATCATCAGCTCATCAGCGGAGCACCTGAAATACGAGCTTCTCACAGATCTCCAGCGCCAGATGATTGTGATTCATCCTCGGGGTACAGCCAGGCCGCCTAGTTGCTCTCCTCCGCGAAGCATTGCAACTAAGTTTAAGTATTTTCAAGTCTCGAGTAATTCGTGTGTTTTTGTTTGCCTCCAGCGTTCCCTCTTCGACTCCAGTCTCCAGCGTCTCACGAGCCACACCATCCGTAGCCCTCTCCAGCTTCACCACGGAGCCCACCGCTTCGAGCACCCACATGAAAAGTTCTTCTTCTACGAGTACCAGCACTGGGAAAACCGCCACTGGGAAGAAGCACCTCGAGCACCGTGCCCTGAGCACTGTCCCTGCGCGACCGCGGTGAAATTAGTTTGACGTTGGATATTGGATATTCGCGCTCCGCGTGGTCAGCGGTCTTGCTCACAGTTGATCCGATTTACGGACTCAGACTTCGGCTCGCTCCTCTCGGCTGCATCGCCACCCAACCAGCCATTTCACTTTGGGACCGTCAACGAATTTCTGAACCAAGAACCCTTGAGAAATAAAAATTAATAAATTTTCTATTTTGTGACCTCATGACTAAAAACCAGTGTGGATATATTCAAGTGCACTGGACAAATGAGGCACACCCTTTATTACATTTTATCCTTTGTAATAATTTTTATGATTATTTATATTCATAAGTTATGAATATTCTTCAATAGCTTCCAGGTCATGTGACCCACTGACTTCAAATCAGTGTCAAATTACTCAGCTAGTCTGGACAAACGAGGCACACCAATTTATTTTCGATTTTAGCCTTTTGCAAATTTTTAATGAATTATTATATTCATAAATTATGAATATTCTTCAATAGCTTCAAGGTCATGTGACCCACTGACTTCAAATTAGTTTCAAATTACTCAGCTAGTCTGGACAAATATTTTAAAATGATGTAAAAAATGTAGAAAATAAAACTGTACATAGTTTTTGGCATAGAAGCTATTAAAAAATATTAGTAATTTATGAATATAGGTAATCAACAGAAATATTAAAATACCTGAAATTGAATAAAAATTGGTGTCCAGACTAGCTGAGTAATTTGAAACAGATTTGAAGTCAGTGGGTCACATGACCTGGAAGCTATTGAAGAATATTCCAAATTTATGAATATAATAATTCATAAAAATATTCCAAAGGCTAAAATTGAAAATAAATTGGTGTGTCTCATGTG